TATGTTATATGTCAAAAGAAATAATATTAAATCGTGCACACTTTCGAGTAGCGGTTGTGGATTTTCACGTCATTAAAAAAATAATATTAAATAATAAACATATAGATATTAATATACTATATATGCATATGTATACATATGATATGATATTAATAAATTATACAATTAATATACTCCATATTAATAATTAGATCTAGTATTTATAATTAATCATTATTGATAAAAATATATAAATGATTATCTAATCATTTATGATAGTATAAATAAAAATTTTAGGCAGAATATGCCCAACCAGAATTATTTGGAAAAAAAAAAAAGTAAAAACCCCCGCCCCAATTAAAATTTATTCATTTTCACTTTCATAAATACTTAATTAGACACTGTGAGAGCATTTAAAATTATATTAAACTCAAACCTCCCAAAAAAATCTCTTGCATAATTTCTTTAAACTAAAATTAATAAATATCGTCATTTTTCAATTCCCATAAATACACAACCATACGGTACTTTACAAATGAGAGCACTAAAAACCAAAATCAAATCGAAACCTTCAACCAAAAATGAGAAAAAAATTCTTCACAGAAATAAAGCATAACATGTTGAAATTTATGTTGGAAAAAATCAATGATTTCGCACAAAAAAAAAATATAAAAAAAAAATCTTTCAAAGCCATCAAAAAGTTTAACTGCTCTGTAAAGATGGTTGCTAGGCATTGGAAAACTGCACAACAACAATTGTTTGAAGGCGAGGATGTTAGTGTTAAAAAAAAAAAAAAAAGAATATTGTAAGACAAGATAAAATTAAACCTGATTTGGAAGCAATTGAGAGGTTATCAATATTGCAACGTCTTTGATTAGAAAACTAACAAAAGAGATGCAATGCTCAAAATCAACAGTACCTAGATGGATTAAAGCTAAGCAAATTAGAGCTCCTACAAGTGCTACTAAACCTGAACTTACCGAGGTGAATAAACGTGCAATGCTAAGTTTTTTCTTACAAGTACTTGATGTTTTTCGATGCATTTTAAATGCACAATTGCAGAGCATGCAAAACATAGTTCATATTTATGAAAAATGGTTCTGTCTAAAGCCAACCATCAATTTTATTTGATTCCGTTGGAAAAGAATCCATAAAGAACATGCAAAAGCAAAAAAAAAAATTATTTCAAAGATTATGTTAATACGTGTCGTATCCCAACCTATATGGGACAATGATGGAGTATTATTGTTTGATGAAAAAATTAGGATTTTTCCATTCACTGAGAAAGTCAAAGTAATGAGGTTAAACAAAAATCAAGTTGTCGGTATATTATAAACAAAATCAATACAATATGTAATAAAAAAAAGGTTATAATAAACTATTTGATTAATGAGGTTAGCCATAATTTACATCTAACATACATTAAACTTAAGAAAATTTATTCTTGATGTATTCTACTCTATCATTTAAAATAGAAGACTCAATATTTTCTCGTGATTAATGCCGCATCTCATTTGATCAATATTTACAACTTCTAATATAGCAAAAATTATAGTTAATGCTATGGCAGATCATCCCAACAATCAAAGAAAAGTGGCCAATCAATTTTTTAAAAAATATATTCATCCAACAAGACAAAACAAAGCCACACTTAAATTGGGGCGATCCAGATTTTGTACACACAATAATAACTGATTGTTTCAATATTATTCTTACTCAACAACTACCTAATGATCCATATATGAATGTTAATAATTTATGATGGTTTCGAGCAATTAAGAGTTTACAAATGGATAAATGATACAAGAATGTCAATGAACTTGTAAATGCATTTCTAACAAACTATAATCAGTTGACACCATAAACTCCGAACAAGGTATTCTTAAATTTACAAGGTTGTATAATTGAAGTAATGAAATATAAGAGAGATAATACTTACAAACTTCCACATTTGAGAAACAAGAGGTTTATTTAGAGTAGAAAATCTCCCAAATCAACACATTGTTCATATGTGATTAGTTCATGAATGCATTTAAGATCTTATTCAAAAAGGAGAGGTGGAGGGAATTGAAAGAATTATAAGTGACTTAGGTTGTTAGAGATGTAAATATAATTTTGAAAAATATTTTGTGAATGTTTATAATTTTAGTAAACTTGTAAACAAAAAATCTTAAAATGCAAGTTTATAGTGTAAACTTTTTGAATGTTTGTAGTAAACAAATTTTGATATTTTTCTTTTGAAAGGGATTATATGATATGCAACTTTAAATATTAGGTGTATTTATCTGTTCAATAAAATACACTTGAAAGAATGTTATTTTTCCAAATTAGCTCAACATAGATCTTAATAAGTTGAGGTAAAATTTTTTAAACATGTTTACTATGAGTATATGCTCCAAATCAGAAGCAAATTCATACACAACGGTTTATATAGAGATCACCACAACCATGACTACATAAAAAATTTTCAACAGACTACATGAAACATAAGGGGGCATGACTTCATTTCGAGCACAAAATACTGATCAATACGCCAAATCTAGAAATAACATAGCAAATTTTTAAGCGCTTACCGAAACACAAAAAATCTCCAGTAGAAAATTTTACAAATACTTCAATGTCGTAAAAGAAACACATATACGCTCAAGCAATAAAAGAAAATTTTTTGGGACTTAAGATTTCTGACACTTCGGATGATTTTTTCTTGTCTCAGGCCAAGTCTGTGTCCGATCTTATCTCACGTGCTGGCCTGACTGATCACCTCCACACCTCTTGAGGCAAACAGTCGCTTCACCTCTTATGATGGATCTCTACTTAATGATTCAACTCTTTATCATCAGCTAGCTGAATTTTTTATTTTTCATAGTATCTTGCTCTGACATAGCCCAACATATTGTTAGTCAATTTATAGTTGCTTCCCGGACTGTACATTATTCCGTGGTGCTCATGGCTACACTTTTCAGCTCATACGTCCTTAGTTCTTGCGGGCTATTTTGATTCAGATTGGGCAGATAATCTCACCGATTATCGATCTACTATTAATTTATGTTTTTTTTTGTGACTCTTAGATTTCTTGGAGTAGTAAGGAACATACAATCGTCTTTTAAGTCTAGTCTTGAGTCCGAGTATTGTGCTCTCGTTGATTCTATATTTAAACTTTTGTGACTTCGTTGGTTACTATATAATCTTAGTGACTCTAGTCCTCTTCTAATACTCTTCAGTATGATAATCAGAGTGCCATACAATAACACACAATGATATCTTCCACGAACACATGAAATATATTGAGATCAATTGTCATTTTGTGACACAACACATGATTGCCAAGACTATTCTGTTGATCTTCACCGAAGATAGATCGGAGAATCTCTTCACCAAATCTTTTATTCTAGATCGTTTTCATATTCTCTTACACAAACTCAACTTGATGTCTATAATACCATCTTGAGTTTGAAGGAATGTTCATATATATATATATTATATTTGTGTATATATTGATATTTACCTTATTGACCCTACTTGTATATACACTCGTGTTAATCTTTATAATAAAATAGTCAATTCTTCCAAAAAATTACATTATAATATATTATATAAACGATGTTAAATATTAGGATATCATATCCATCCAAATAAATGACCATTTAATCACAATAATCCCGTAAAATAAGTTTTTTATTATTTTGTAATAATATTTATATGGTTAGTATTGAATGGTAGTAGGGGAGACAAGCCATCAATAAGATCATACTTTTATATTATTTCGTTGTTGTTATCTTGCAGTTTCTTTATAGTTTAGTTAGATTTTAGTCGCTTCTACTAGTTATTTAAAACAATAAATCTTTGGAAGTAATTTCGATGATTTAAGGCACCTTTCAAATGGATTAAATAATATTTATCCACTCTCCATGTTATTTGAAAAAGATTCGGGATTATTAATAACTTTTTGCGAAGGATCATATCTATCCATTTCTTCATGAATAGGCCGATTTGAAATGTAAAAAATTATTTGGAATACCCTCAGAACGTGATATCGACGAGATATTCCTTCATCTATTGCTTGATTTTGAGCACACACTACTCGCAAAAAGAAATATTGGAAAATAGACAAAAACCGCTCAAACTAATAAAAATTTACATTATTAAATAAAAATGTGCAATTAGAATAGTTAATGACCATGTGTGACAGTATTTAATATAGGGAACGATTAAAGTGCTGAATTGAAAAAATTATTACCGTGAGCAATACCCGTAATATATATAAACAACACACTTCAAACCTTGACGTCTCCAGGGCTACGTGACACAGTTCGTTTAGTATGATTTGTCTTATCGAGCTTAGTTTACAAAATATTAGGTTCGATCGGGTGTTTACCTAATACGTATTTTCGGTACTAAATTTTAAAATTCTCTAACAGTCGTCTTTAATATATATGCATACAAATTTTATTAAAGTGAAGGTGTAGTGCAAGTTCGAAGTTTGACCAATAGTTTTCCGAAAATAAAATCAATTATACATTTATACTGGTGAATAACATTATTACTATTATTATTAATTTATTATTATTATTTGTAGAAATCGATAGTAAATCCATGGCTATGTTCTAGAATGATTCGCAAGTCGCAACGCAAGTCCACCAAATCTTGATAATAGAATCAGATAAATAATTGAATAATTGTTAGTGTCGGATCTTGACTTGTGAGAGTTGATCAAGACTCAAATGTTGGTTATAACTTTCAATAATCAATCAAACCCATTGATAAACGAAATGGCTATTTCACCAGCAAACAGCAGAATTCATCTCCAACTATACACAGCACTTAATTACTTGGATCTTAAATCGCAGAGAATTATGGGTAAGGGGCAGATTTGAAATGGAGAGAATAATCTTAAGTAATGATGAAAGTTGAGCAAAGATCAGAAATATTTATTACGGCCAAATGCTTGAAAAAGAAAAAGAAAAATGGTGGAGGTCAGTCAGTGGAGTGGACATCACAAACAACACCAAGATAAGCCTCAAAGAGAGAGAGAGAGAGAGAGAGGAAGAGAGAGAAAGATGGGTCTTTTTCTTTTTTCGAAAGACACACAAACAAATGCAATTCTTGATTGAGCAAAACCGAAACGCGACTCCTGGCTGCTCCACATCAGTCGTCATCATCATCATCACAATCACCATCATCACATCGAGATCCAGAACAATAACCTAGCGATTACTCTTCTTGCCGGGCCTGCCAAAAACCCTCTCTCGCTCTCCATCTCAAATCCCTGCCCGCATCTTGCCGTCGATTCATTGGAAACGCTTCTTTTCTTTACTGGGCTTTTGTTTCTTTCATGAATGCCCCCGAGGGTTTCCGCCATTAAATGCGCTAGCTAAATTTTAAGGTTTTCTACTTTAGATGGGCGCCGATACTCGCGCCGTGCTATGCTTAGTGGTGTTGGGCTCTGAGTATTATTTTGGATACTACAATTTTCTGCACACGATTCTAATCGAGAATGCCAGCTGATACTTCCAGATCGCGACCAGATCTCGGAACTTCCTGATCCGGATGAATTCATGGGTTTCTTTCTCGAGCTGGGGCAGAATGAATGCGGAGCACCGCTGAGGAGGTTTCTCTTTCTTTCTTCTGGTTTTTGTATTTCTTGAAGACCTTTTTTGTTTTCTTGGCTATCTCAAATATTTGCATCTGTGAATTTTCTCTAACTGATCTCAATTTTTTCTGAAGTAATTTTGGTCTGTTTTGTTATTCTTAATCCGTAATTGACTGAACAAAATCTTGCTGGTGCTGTCCTTTTGTGTGGGCTTTTCGTAGTGCTGATCAAGGTTATTATGTTTACCCTATTTTGTTCGTCAGATGAGAGCTCGAGCAGTGGTCATGAGCATTTACTTCTGGTGTTGAAGAATATAGCTTCTTGAAAGGGAATCAGCTCCTCCATGGATTGCGCATTCTGCTTGTTATAGGTTTTACTTGCCGAATTTCTGGTTGTTTCTTTGTTGAATTTGGTGTGACTGATTGGCAGCAAACTTGAATTTAGTTGAAGTGTTGTAGTGATGATAAAAAATTTTCTCAATCGGCTTCCGAAGAAACATTCCAAGTTGGCTGACAGTCGGGATGGAGGATCCTCTACTAACCCTTCAAATGCTTCGGCTGCTTCAAGAACCGCATACGCTGGCAATTCGAACACTGCTGTTGTTCCTGGGAGTAATTCAGCCTCCAATGCCGATGCCGGTTATGGATATAACACTCATGATCCAATGAATACAACGATAAATGGAAATGCAGGAATTTGGCCTTTCGAGGCCCTTCCTAGCTTCAGAGATGTGCCGAATCATGAAAAGCAGCATTTGTTGATCAGAAAGTTGAATTTGTGTTGTGTAGTGTTTGACTTCACTGACACCATGAAGAATCTGAAAGAAAAAGAAATCAAGCGGCAGACATTGGTGGAGCTTGTTGAGTATGTGGCTTCAGCGAACGGGAAATTCACGGAATCTGTTATGCAGGAGATTGTAAGAATGGTATCTATAAATTTGTTCCGTACGCTATCTACCCAACCACGTGAGAATAAAGTTTTGGAAGCTTTTGATTTGGAGGAAGAGGAGCCTTTAATGGATCCTGCGTGGCTGCATCTGCAAGTTGTTTATGAGTTACTTCTCAGGTTTGTTGCGTCACCTGAGACAGATGCGAAGTTGGCGAAGCGTTACATTGACCACTCTTTTGTCCTGAAGCTGTTGGATCTTTTCGATTCGGAAGATCCGCGAGAACGAGATTATTTAAAGACTGTCTTGCACCGTATTTATGGAAAATTCATGGTTCATCGGCCGTACATTAGGAAAGCGATAAATAATATATTTTACCGCTTTATATTCGAGACGGAGAAACACAATGGGATTACAGAGTTGTTAGAAATTTTGGGTAGCATTATTAATGGATTTGCAGTGCCGCTAAAAGAAGAGCACAAACTTTTTCTTGTTAGGGCACTCATACCGCTTCACAAACCGAAATGCATTGCTGTATACCATCAGCAGCTGTCCTACTGCATAACACAATTTGTCGAGAAAGATCGTAAACTTGCAGATACCATCATTCGAGGCTTACTCAAGTATTGGCCAATCACAAATAGTTCCAAGGAGGTAATGTTTTTGGGTGAGCTGGAGGAAGTGTTGGAGGCAACTCAGCTTCCGGAATTCCAACGATGTATGGTTCCTTTGTTTCACCAGATTGCTCGTTGCATGAGCAGTTCGCATTTTCAGGTAAGCTTTGCCTTTCCATTTATTTTCGTTACACACATTTTACTTGTAAGGTGCCGTTATTTGCTAGATTGTTTGTTTCGGCATATCCTTCTCGATTATTGTTTATTTCCAAAGTAAATGATGAGCATTTGTTAATTCACCAGTGATCAATATCTGATTTGAAGTGCCCCGACAAACTCCTAAACTAAATGTGTCTTCGCAACTTGCTTGGTCTGTTTTAGTATATTCATCCGTCGTATATTTCTCTCAGAATGCTTCTATTTGCATGGTGACGATTTGAGGACAAGTGCTACATTTTGCTCGATTAATTTTCTTAAAACTCAGCATGTCTGTGAAATTCGTCTTTCGTGTGTCTGAACTAAACTTCTTCATTCTGTTATACCTAGTGTCAAATTTATTATTTCATCCAATCTGAATTTTTCGAACCATTCCTTTGCAAGAAGTTACATAAAGAGGCAATATTCTTTATAGGGTCGGTAAAAAATTTTATTATTCGATTTGCTCATCCACCTTTGATTCATTCCTGAAAGAGTAAAACTTGTTTGTACCATTTGGCAAATAATCACTTGGTTTTGGCAGCTGATTTGGCTTTATTCACATTGTTTGACAATTTTCATTAGGCTTATTTTATGATAGTTTATCTTTCTTCGGCAAGATTTTTGAAGGCAGATTCCCTTGGTGATCTGGTTGAAATCGGATGTGTTTTTTATACAGGTGGCGGAAAGGGCACTGTTTTTATGGAACAACGATCACATTGAGAGCCTGATCAAGCAAAATCGCAAAGTTATACTCCCAATAATCTTTGCTTCATTGGAGAGGAATGGCAAAAGCCACTGGAATCAGGCAGTACAGACGTTGACACTGAACGTCCGCAAAATATTCTCAGACACAGACCCTGAGCTCTTCGAGGAATGCCTGCTCAAGTACCAAGAAGACGAAGCACAGGAAGAGGGAGTAAAGTTAAAACGGGAAGCAGCATGGAAACGGCTGGAGGAAATCGCAGCAATGAAAGCTAGTAGTAACGAGCCAGTGCTCGTCCCCTTAAAGACCAGCGCTAACACCGCCCCTACCGGCTAGAAGATCTATGGTGGTGTAAGCTCATATTGCACAATGCTATTATGTGACGTATGCAGATGCGCGCCAATGTTGATGGTGATGTTCTCTCTCTCTCTCTCTCTCCATATATATATATATATATCTATATCTGGGGCAGGTAGAGGGGGCATTGCTATAAAAATAGATAGTGTACATATCGAAAGAATTGGGTTGGGTCGGAGGAGGTTTTTAGTATGCAGTGAGATGGGAAATTAGGCCCCCTATCCTATACTATACTATACTATATATCCTATCCTATAATGTGTTGTTGTTTTTGTTCATTGTTATACTCTTGTTGTTAGAATGATGTGGAAATTTTTGTTGGGATTTTTTGGTGGTGCTGGCTTGGCTTTGAATATGTGTGTGCAATATCTGCTTGGCTTAGCATGGCAGGAATAATCTTGATTTTTATGGTACTGAGGTTTAGTTGATTCGTTTTTTACTGTATGATCTCATCTTGATTTTTTATCCTCTCTGTCTGTGGTTTGTCTTCTCTGAGCTGTTTACCAGTTGGTTTTTGGTGATGTTTTTCAACCGGCTGTGTTATGACATGCTCCTACGAGTGCTCCACCCTCTTGTATCTTGATTACTCTCTTCATTCTAGACAAATTATTGTGCTGCTGATATACATACTTTTAATTAATAGTGCATATTGCGGCAGATTATATGTTGTATTTATATTATATTAATATAAATAATACTTTTCGTCCGTCCGGCGGTAAGGATCTCGTTTATTTTTTGCACGTTAGATATTTAAATATTAATTATTATATGAAAAAATAATACAAATTTATAAAATTTTTATTAATATCTTATAATACGGTTATAATAATATTTGTGCAAAATAATAATGTAAATGTAGATGAGACTATTAGAGCCGGATGGAGGGAGTGTATTGGTTGGTGTTATATTATACCTTATTATTATTATCAGTAATTGCTGTTTTTTGAGTAAGGTTGTTAGTGAGATCCTAAAAATAAATATGATACTCCCTCCGATAGGTTTAGGTTGTAGTTATTGAAAGTGTACAATTGTCTTATATGATTTAGGTATAAATTAATTATATGGGTAATAATATATTTTTAAATTATGTAAAAGATTAAAAATTATTTTAATATTAATATATAATTATTTTTAACATAAAAAAATAGATAATTGTTAATGAACCTGAAAAAAATTGATAAAAAAAAAAAAAATTCATTGGGAAGAGGGAGTATGATATATATAACCTATGTACATATATTTACATAAAATTTTTTATCCAATAAGTTAGTAATCATATTCCAGATTTTTATCCAACTATAATGTTCTTATTGTTCTTTAAAGGAAAATAAAAATTCATACATACTATATATCCATATCCACGTATAGATATTTATACACAAATGCAAATTCATATATACATACTATATAAATATCCATTCATATATACATACTATATAAATATCCAGACATATATATAGAAATGATACTGATAAAATCACAAATTTCATTTAGCAAGTACAAAATGATGACCGAGAAGATCATAGATTTTACTTACCAAGTGTGGAATGATGACCAACAAGACCACCACTACTTTCCACATGTAATATGATGCTTTAGTGGACAAAATATTTTCGAAATCTACAAATTAGTACATGTTTTTTTTGCTTCAAGACCCCTGTCTCCACCTATATAAGAAGCTAACTTCATCATAGAATAGATTGTATAAGTAGAGATGGTACAAGTGCGAGTTAGAGAGTGACTCTTTCTTTCCTTAAGTTCAGAAGCATTGAAGCGTCCAACATCCCAGTGAAGTTTGAATAACTAGGTATGAAATAGTAGTAATATTTCATCGTAGTTTTTTATAGTATTCCAAAACTATTACCTTCAACCTTTAAGGTCCGTGTCTATTTAGTATATGTTCTATCATATGCATGAACCATAAGTCTGTCCAAATATGTTCAATCTAAGTTTGTTTATTAAAAGCATGTTTGAGAAATTTAATTTAAAATAACGTGGAAGATGAAAAACTAATAAACTTATCTATTAAATAAAAGAATTAATTATTTAAAAATTTAAAATACATAATTCAATAATATGGAGGAAAGATTTTTTTTTTTTAAATAAATTATTTTGAGATTAATTGCTCTTATAATATGATAGGAAAGAATATGATGGGGAAGAAAGAAAACAGATGGGAGAAACTCTTATTGAGTTTTATTGATGTATATGGTCTAAAATATTAATTTTATATTATCAATACAATTTTTATTTTTTATTTTAAATTGAATAGTCATTTGATGTGATATAAATAGAAGTTGACAGTGATGTTTTGAATGTAAAATAAATTTGTAGTATAATATAAAAAAATAATTGTTTGATATTATATTTTTTTATAAAAAAAAAAAAATTAAATAGTAAAAATCTATGTTAAAATCCACGAACGAAGACAACGTTATTTTCTCTCTATTTATGAATGATTCAAAAGTAAAATTATTGTCTATTGCTTAAAAGAAGTATGTGTTCTACTATTAATGCCAATATTATTGTCTATTTCTTAAAAGAAGTTCTAGGATTAAAGTCAACGGGGAGAAATATTGAGAAGTTTATGAGCTTTTCTGAAGGGTTTTTTTCATTTACCCAGACTTTTTTACTCATGTTAAAAAAAATTAATTGTCACAGTAATTCATTTCTAGATGCCACAACACACATTCTTTGATATTATTTATTTTTTAAAAAATATCACAATCAAATATATATTTTTTTTACAAAACATCAAATCAAATATTAATTTTTTACATTTTCTAAATTTTTAAATTTTTAAAAACCTCCAAAAAACTCTTACCTAAACAATAAATTTGGACACATAATGAACTTGTACACATGAATTGATGATGTACATGCTCTAAGTTCAAAATCCAATGATCAATCAGATTATATTTATACTTAAATAGGAGGCCAGACATTGATCAGCAGCAGTAAGCAGCAACATTACATCAATTATAAATCCCCAAATCAAGAAAACCAATTAACCAAGCAATAGTTAAAAAAATTTAATTAAGAGGATAATCCCATTTGTTCCACCAAGCACCAGCTGCTTTCATCATCTTCATCATCAATTATGTTTATGTCCCACTCCCAGTCCCCCTCATCACCATCTGCCTCCAATTCAATCTCTACATGATCAGTGCCACCATGGGATATTACTGATGATGGACCCTCGTGAGCCTCATCTTCATCGTCCATTATTATCTGGGGACGATGATAATCATCATCATCATCATCATCGCGCCGACCCAAATAGTCCAAAACCCCAGAGGCCGAGAGCCCAGAAAACCTGAATCCAGGCGCGGAATCCACAACCCTCCAGGCGATCAATCTGTAGCTGGACATAGTGTCGGAGGAGGACCTGCTCTTCTGGGCTCCCTTGGCTTTGTCCTTGGACTTGCACGCCGGAATATGGTCGTGGCAGTCGCGGCACTGAGGGCGGCCGCACTTTCCGGTGAACTTGGAGTGGGCGGTGGGCCTGGTGGGGACCCTGGCGAACACCCCCGCAGTAGGGGGCGAGCTGAGCTGGTTGACGACCCGGCGGGCCCTGGGACGAGGGTGCGACGGCACTGACAGGATGGGATTGGTTCGGACCATACCGTGCTGACGACCCTCCCTCTTCATTTTGATTCGCACCCTCAGCTTGATTCGATATTTGGAAGGGCGAAATTGAGAATTATAAATAGATGGATAGGTAGAAGGAAGTAGGAAGTGATGGTGCTGATGAATTGAGTTGAGTGGGGAGCAAGTTCATCGAAGCTATGGATTGGAGTTGACTAGTCTAAGTCAATTGGATACAAAACTTCTCGTGCGTGCTCCGCAAGTAGGGATGGCAACTGGCGGATTCGGGTCAGCCCAACCCAACCGCCCCGGAAATCCCATTTTATTTTTATAAAATATACGTATGTATACATTTATTTTTAGAAATTAGGGTCTTTTGTTAAATAAAATTTTATTATTCACACTTTGTGTTTTTTAAAAAAATATATATTTTTTTTATTTTATAAAATATTTAATTAAATATTATTTTTATATCAAATTCAAACCAAATAAACATACCTCTCGAATAAATTTTTTGAATATTACATATTAAGTATTTAAAATTTCAGAGATTTCAATCACCTAGGAGCTAATATATTTTCAATGGTAGTGACGGTGATTTGAAAAAATGATAACTATAGCTGAAAAATAGTAGAACATTAAAAAATAAAAAGTACTTTCTCTACTATTTAAATTTATGTTTATTTTTCTTTTTAAATTATCATTTACAAATATTTTTATTGCTTTAAGCAAAAAGAAATACACTATTTTTGTTTTTAATTTGTTTTACAATAAAAGACAAAAGAAATAACAATTACTATCAATTTTTATTAAATTTTATGTCCAAATATTTGCATTTGAGCACATAATTAATTGATATCGGAAGTAATAAAGACAATTAAAAAAAATACAAATTTATAAATTTAGACCATATAAATAATATAAATATATAATATTAATTTTTTATCATTATTAATTTAAACGGATTCGACACGAGACTGAATTCAGGAAGATTTTTTTTTGTTTTTTTTATTTATTTATCAAACTTGTAACTATCCCAGATTCAATGGGATTTAAAATTTTAAAACTCATAACCTAGACTAGGATTTGTCTGAATTATCATTCATATTCACAAAGACTTAACGATGTCGCTTCCAAATCGCTGTTACTTTGAAATGATTGTCAAACTGTTGTTTTAAAATCTTGTTTTATTTCCAACGTCTAGGATTTCATTTCTGTTGATTTCATTTCCCATTTAAGAATATTTTTTTCTGTAAGGCTAATATGTTACGACACATTAATAACACGTCGATATATGATGTGGATGCTTTTACAATCACTCGTTTGACCACCTCCATCGTCTATATATATGAGTTGGTATACATAAAAAAAAAAAAAAAAAAGGATATACTCCATTCCTCTTGCTCTCTAATCTCTCTCTCTTGGCTACTCTCTTAAGTTAGCATTTACTGTGTGCACACACACATATATATATATAGATATGTACCCATACATACTAAAAAATACATACATATATTTACATATAAATTACCTGCCGTATACATATATATATTTATATATTATATTAATTATTATATAATACGTTACTAGGGCTCTTACCTATTTTATTTTGGTTAAATGGATGCCGACCAAAATGATGTAAATATGTGTTTCATTGACAGTGCAACAACACATACTATAATGAAACACGAAAAGTATTTCTCCTATTTGAGAAGGGAAAAGATGAATGACAATATAATAAGTGGCACTGTAAAATTAATTGAAAACTCTGGATAGACTATTATATTTCTCCCCGCGGAGACGAAAATTGTGATACAGTATGCACCGTTGGCCATTAAAGCTCGAAAAATTTATTGAGCTTTCATGAAAATCAAAAAATTATTATCACATTGAAACTATGAGTGATATCGATGGTGAATTTTTATTGATCACCAATATCATTGATAAAAAAATTGCATCATTGAGAGATTACACTCGCTCTCTACTGGTTTATATTATGCCAAATTAAATGTTGTTGAAACACACCCCACAGTAGATCAAAAGACTATCGACTTTCAAATATGACATGATCACCTTGGGCATCCTGACAGTATAATGATGATGCAAATAATTGAAAATTAGCATGACCATTCATTAAAATGTCAAAAAATGTTAAACTCAAATGAGTTAACTTGTGTTGCCTGCACTCAGAAAAAATTGATAACCAGACCATCGCTAGCTAAAGTAGGTATTGAATCACATACATTTTGCAAATAATATACTGGGATATATGTGGATCAATTGACCCACTATGTGGGCCATTTAAATAATTATGGTGCTTATTGATGCGTCTACCAAATGATCACATGTCTGTTTATTATCTACTCGCAATATGACATTTACGAGATTGCTTGCACAAATTATCAATTACGGGAACAATTCTTTGATAATCCAATTAAGACTATACGTCTGGATAATGCTGATGAATATTCATCGAATGCATTTGATGATTATTGCATGTAGATTGGAATAAATGTAGAACACCCAATTGCTTATGTTCATACACAAAATGGTTTGACAGAATCACTTATTAAAATATTGCAATTGATTTCTAAACCATTACGGATAAGGTCTATGCTGCTTGTTTCAACTTGGGAGCATGCAATCTTACATGCATGAACACTCATAAGAATGATGCCGACAAACTATCATAGCAATTCTCCGATGCAATTAGTATTTGGTCACGAACCAAATATATATCATCTATGTATATTTTGGTGTGATGTTTATATTCCTATTCAACCCCCCAAATGTTCAAAAATGGGTCATCAACGTAGATTGAACATATATGTCGGATATGAATCACCATCAATTATAAAATATATTGAACTTATGGCGGGTGATTTATTCACTGTAAGATTTTCAAATTCTCATTTTGACAAATCATATTTTCCGACATTAGGGGGAGACAAAAATGAATCGAAAAGGGATATTAATTGGAAAATCCCATTGAATTTTTGCGATTCTCGTACAAAATAGTGTGAACTAGAAGCTAAACGCATTATACATTTTCAAAATATTGAAAATCAATTGGCGGACACTTTCAATGACTCGAGCAAAGTCACTCGATCATATATCCAAACTGCTAATTCTCCGGCTAAAATAATTGTCATTGATAGACAAATTACAAGTGCTAAAAATCAGCAACACGTTTAAAGCGTGGTAGACCACTTGGTTCCAAAGTCAAATATCCTTAAAAGAAAATATGAATGAATGATGATAATCATGAAAATATCAGGAATGACATTGATAAACCTCAATCTAATGAGGAAGTCAACCCTGAAATAATTGCTCAAGAAGAGCACGATCTTGAAGAATATAATGAGATTATTTAAAACTCAATTAACTATGTTATTTCAAGAAAATGTTGTAACCTTAAAGAGACATTTATTAATAATGTCTTCCCATATAATTTAGCACTTGATATAATGGAAGAAAATGAGAATTTAAAGCAAAAATCGGTTCGTGAATGTCGGCAAAGAAATGACTGGCCAAAATGGAAAAATACGATTCAATCAGAGCTTAACTCATTAAACAAAAGAGAGATCTTCAAACCAATTATTCAAACACTATATGGTATAAAACCAGTGGGATATAAATGGTTGTTTGTACGAAAAAGAAATGAGCTTAATGAAATTGTGAGATATAAAACCCGTCTTGTAGCTCAGGGATTCTCACAAAGACCTGGAGTAAATATTGATGAAACATACTCTCAAGTTGTCGATGGAATAACATTTAGATACCTTGTGAAGCCTAGCAATGCGAGAAAAGCTAGATATGCGTTTTTTAGACGTAGTTACTGCATATATTTATGGTTCATTGTATAATGATATTTATATGAAAATTCCTTAGGGATTCAATATACCCGAAGTATACAAATTAAACCCAATTGAATCATATTCCATCAAATTGAAAAAGTCATTCTATAGATTTAAACAATTAGGGTGAATGTGGTATAACCGTCTCAGTGAATAAATAATAAAAAAAATGTTATACTAATTATCCAATATGCCCATGCGTTTTTATATAGAAAAATGAATCAAAATTTGTCATTATTGCAATATATGTGAATGATCTCAATTTAATTGGAACTCCTGAAGAGATTCAAATTGCAGTTGAATATCTAAAGAAAGAATTTGAGATCAAATATTTTGAAAAGACAAAATATTGTAGGGGATTACAAGTGGATCATTTCAATAATGAAATATTTATCCATCAATCCACATATATCCAAAATGTATTAAAACAATTTTATATGGATAAATTCTACTCTCTGAGTACACCAATGGTGATTAGATCCATTGATCCCAATAAAGATCCATTTAGGCCAAGAGAAAAAAAATAAAGAACTACTTGGCTCAGAAGTACTATATCTCAGCGCTATTGGCGCATTAATGTACGTTTTACCAGCCCAAATATATTTTTTTTCAATAAATCTACTGGCCAGGTTTATCGCATCCGCCACAAAGCGCTATTGGAATGAAATCAAATAAATTTTTCGTTACCTTCAGGGGACTCATGACCTCGGTCTATTTTATTCGAGTGAATATCAAAATGAATTAATTGGTTACGCTGATGTTAATTATTTGTCTGATCCACACACACACAAAAAATCTCAAACTAACTATTTATTTACTTGTGGTGGAACCATAATCTCTTGGAGATTCGTTAAACATACGATAATAGCTACTTCCCCAAATCATGCTGAGGTTTTAGCAATTCACGAAGCTAGTCGTGAATGCGTTTGATTAAGCTCGATGACTCAACATATTCAGAAAAATTGTGGCTTGATTTATGATGATGTATTACCTCATACAATACTATTTGAAGATAATGTAGCTTGTATAACTCAATTAAAATGATGATATATTAAAAGTGATCGAACAAAACATATATCCCCAAAAAAAATTTTCACTCATGATCTTCAAAAGAGTGGTGAAATTAATGTACACAAATCCGATCATCTAAAAATTTTGCAGATTTATTCACGAAGGTGCTACCGACTGCAACATTCAACAAATTGATATAAGAAATTGAAATGCGTCAGTTTAAAGACATCAAATAAAGTTCAAAACCGGGGGAGCGTATTAATACAAGAATATTGTA